CTATTAATTAGATTTTACAAATTTTTCATTAGAGACAACTAAAAATTTTATTTTTTGATGTATCTACATTTTTGCACAGGACATATAAAAAATTAATAAAATTTACTTTTTAAGTAGAAGTAATATTAATATAAAATATAATTTTTAGTTTTTGAAGAAAATTAATCCGAAAATTTCAAATTTAAAGATAACTTTGAGAAATTCGCAATCTGAGCTTTATATAAATATCAAATAAAGTATATTTATACCATAAAGACACCGAATTATTTTTACATAATTCAAAAACCGTTACTTTAATAAAAATCGAAATATAAAGATTCCAAAAAACAATCGTAAATATCATAGACCATTTTTATTTCATCATACTTAGAAAATATCCCATACACTAAATGGTTGTTAAATTTGTTCTCGATAACTTGTTGGAGACGTCACCAAAGATCCAATTTTGGTTTACAAGCTGAAGATTTGGACTGTTCATACAGTAGCACGGAAAGTAATAACAATTTTTTAAATTAAGGTACAATTTTTAATGACAACTACACAAAAGAAGTTATTCCAGAATGCTTTTAATTAAGGCATTATGATACATTTCCCTTCCATGTTAAAAAATTTTACTAGTGATATTGTTTCAATTTTCTTTTCACAATTTTATTTACCGTGTTTTGGCGAAATAACGCGCACCCACCTATATAACATTGATAAACTTGATAAATCGCATTTCCTTTAATATAAATTCGACCCTTGGCACAGTCTCGAACTCTATATTTTTATTTTCGTTATTCTTGAACCCGTTTCCAATCGATTTTGTAATCTATTAACTCGTTGATTAGTAAAATTTTGCGTAATCGCAATGCAAAGTTCTGTATTGTGCAATGGCTGGAGACTCATTTCGAAACAGAGTTTCGTAGAAATGCCATACATCTTTTTGCACCGCCATTATTTTCCGTGTGCGGACTGTAAGCGCCAATAACGTAAACAAGTTTTTGTTTTTTCGTCAACTTTCCTGGATTATTTGCTTGCTTTACATTACAGACGGTTGATTTTATATTCTAGCTTTCCGCGCTTTTTTTTAAACGTTTTATTCATAACACCTTATTAAAAATAACTCATTAAAATAAGTCAACCCTCAAACTTAAAATGGAGATATTTTTAAATCTTGCTTAAATAATAGTTTTAACATGCGTTCTCTACTCAAGGATATGTATTATTCATCCCAGGCAAAATTCGCTTAGAATTAAATATTTTTCAAGCAATGTATAATTTATACAATTCAAAAAAAGAGAAAAAATTTTCGCTAATATTATTATATACGTATTATGTCTGAATTTGAATTCATTCATTCATCATCCTCCGAATCGTAATCAGGACACATGCCACCTCCACAAAGTCCTGATTCTAATGGATTATATCTACAGAATTTTGAATCTATGACCGCTTGTTTAACAGATGTGTCAGTATTACTATCGAGATTATTCGACGAGATTGCTTTGCATTTGACAATTAGTTCGTCTATTGCTGGAAAATCACCAAAGTATTTTTCCCGATGCTCGAACGCTAAGCCTTTTGAGCCAGGATATACAATGTAACAGCCACCAAGAATTCGTCCTTGCCCTTTGAAAGTACCTCCGACCTATTTTTAATATCGACACATAATTAATTCGGTTGATCACAGAATTTTCTTGGAAAAAATAAATAAAAGGAATGATCGTTCATACGATTTTACGTCCACTCAAGTATTTTTTCCACACAGATGATCGAAGAAAGTTTGATGTCCCGCTCCATTTCAGTTCTCCTCCACTGTCGAATAAATTCAAAAAGTAAAGCTCAATATTTACTATAATCAAGAGTATATATGAGCGTGAAAAAAATTTATATTTACCCGAGTGCACGATAAAATTCTTTTTCTTCGTCTATGTAAATGTCACCTTTCCAGAAACCATCATTGAAAGCTTGCACTTCATTATCGATTTGCTCTTGAACAATCGCAATCATTTTTATCCCCTGTTAATTTGTATAACGAAATCAGATTAAAAAATCAGTCAAGGCACTTAAATTTTTAAATGAATCGTGAATACTTGCCAATTTTTCTGTGATTAAGTCACGGTGTGAGGCTAATTTCAAAGCTTCATTACGACATATTGCACAACCAGGACGACGAACTGAATTTGTCATAAAGAATAAGTAAATATTGTGAAACGTATAAATGAAACTTTTGATTTAATTTACCAACTAGGATCAATGCTGCCGAATCTTTCCATAACGAATTCGATATAACCTTTTGATCTCTTACGAAATCATAAAGTTCGATATCTTTGATAGCACTATAAGGTGTGTTGATAGTAGGTACTGTATTCATTTTATCGTTATTATTTTTGACTAGGCTTTGAAAAGCAGTAATTTATATAGAAAATCCGTTTAATTCAAACGATAATCTAGGAGACTTCCGTTTTTGGAATCATGACAAATCAAAAGTTTCATGTGTTACATTGTTATTTATTAATATTGTTTTTCGTTATCGTTATCGTTATATTTTATTGCATAAATCGTTCGAATTTTAGCTTGAAAGACGATAGACAAAAAAGTGTACATGTATGACGGCATGTTCTTCTTAATAATCATTTCTTGTTGGGCTTAACATGCAAAAACAACGCTTGAATGAATGAATATCTGCAAAAAAAGTTGATTAGTCATAAATCGAAATGTAAAAATTCACATTGATAGTACAGCGATGATGCTGTGTTTAAAAAACAGGACAGGCTAATACTAATACATCTACATATACTTTCAAATCACGATATACAGTCAAAGTAGTTTACAACTGTCGCACTGCCTCGATTGTAAAGAACTTTGGCAGTTTTGATGACTAATTAACGCATAATATAGTTACATTGTTAGCATGGAAAATCATTATATCGAGGTTTGAACTGTTGAAAGACAAAGCTAGACTCGAAATGATCGTTGTAGTGAATGCTTTTTACTATAAACGGAATTTCAAAGCTCGCCCATACTGTATAAGGTACCGTTGTATCCAACTTTATCTGTATTGACTTACTTTTGATATAACTTTATTATGTAGTTTATAACTTACCGCTACAGCGTTTCTCTTTTGAGAAATAAATCCAAGAACATGATGAGTTTATTATCAAATATCGCCACTTTTATAAGATAATCTTGGTGCAAACACATTTTTATATTGATTTTCTATCGCGTAGTGCCTTCGTTTTAATTTAACAAACGTAATAACTTGTATATACGTGACTTTGTCACGTAGAAAAAAGTAACGCCTGATTTGCATGTGTAACAACATAGGTAAATATATGCGTCGCGTTTTCCCACTTTTTGTTATTGTTGACCCTAATTTTCTTTTATCATTTTCTTCTTTTACTTTTAAACATACACAAGGTGAAATTTTTTAAGTGTAAATATGATACCTGTAATACCAGTAGGCCATCTTTGACAAGGAGAAAAATAGTGATTTTTATTGAAGTTATGAGTGTCAAGTAAAGTTGCAAGAAAATGTGATGTAATCTAGTAAGAGTATAATGGTCTCTTGTCAAGTACAAAAGAAACAGGAAAAACAAAATTTTATTACCATCTGAGAGACCATAACTCATAACCATCAAGAAAAAAATGCATATATGCAAAAAATCAAAAAAGATAGCTTGAGCCATTTTATGATATTGATAATAAAAAATCTGTACTGAAGATTCTCTAAGTAATTTGATTCTTTTTCATAATATAATTTGTTCATTGCAGCTTGCTTGGTGCTGATTTACTCTATTTGAATTTATCATATTTTTCTCTAATGTAGATCAAGTTTTATTTTTTTTTTTGAACATCATATTCTTTTAAATCAAGAAAATGTATTGTAATCTGATGATAATATAATGGTCTCTTGCCAAGTACAAAATAGACAGGAAAAAATAAAAATTTATCACGTTGGGAGATCATAGGCTTTTAAAAACAAAGAAAAAATACATCTATACAAGAAGTCAAGAAAGATATCCTGAGCTATTTCACAATATTGATAATAAAAATTCATGCAAAAGCTTACCTGAAGATTCTCTAAGATAATTTTAGTCCCTTTTTATAAAATAATTTGTTTATTGATTTAAGAGAACATGATGTTTCAAAAAAATAAAACTTGATCTATATTAGGAAAAGAAGTCATGAATAGAATCAAATAGAGAAAATCAATAAATTTTGTGTTGTCTCAACTCTGACTTCATAGAAATATCTGCAAGTCATTGAAAAACAATGTTTATAAGTATAAAAGCTTTCCAAGGATCATGAAAAACAAGAAAATTTGATATGTTGCTTTTAAAAGATTATAGGCTCAATATTTTGAAAAATCAAAGTGATATTAGAGTCATATAAAGAGTTAATAATATATTAGCTAATGATAAAAAAATTTTTATATTTATAAAACAGAATTAAGGGTAGAGTTTCTCATATAATTATGTCATGTATGCTAAAAATAGAATTCAAGTTATGCAAATTCAAGATCATATGATTAATTATTAATATTACTGAAATTTTTTTCAAATATTACATCATCATCCTTCTCTTAATATTATATTCTATAAATATCAATATTAATATAACATCAGATAAAATAAATCATCTTACATATAAATTTATTCTATTATATTTTTTTTGATTTTTACATATTCTCACTAATTATTAGTAATTACTTGTTCTTGTGCTCTTTCTGTAATTGTAATTATATTACATGAATGAACTAAAATAAAAGAATCTGGATGAAGAGATTTAATAATTACTATTTGTTTTATCAATCCTTTTACTAATAGTTTATTCACAATATAAAAATAGACTTCTTGAGTTGAAATTAATGATCTATATATTATTTCATTATTTTATAATGTAGTTAAATTTTTATCTTTCATATTTTTGTTATTTGATTTCAAAAATACATCTATTATTTCCTTTCTTTCAAAGCTTATTAATTTTTTTTCTTGAATTAGGTTCAATAATTATTCTATTATCTTGAGTAATTTTAGCAAGTCATCACAAATATTAATTTATATTACAGTATCAATTATATATTGAGTACAGTTATCATAAATATCATATTCAGGAATCTCTAAATCAGTAGTTTACTTAAAAGATATATAATATAATATAATATTTAACAACAAGTATAAGAGTCTTCAAAATAATAAGATCCTTCAAAAATAGCTTGAGTTAAATTATTATCTTTATAATACAATTTTAAAAACCTATATAAACAATATTAAATTATTAGTAATTGAAAATTAAAAATAATTTCAAAAATATTATACCTTTCTTAATTTTTTGTTTTAATTAATATTAATCTTTGAATATTATTTCAAGAATAAAATATAACTAATTATTCTAGTTCTTTATCATGTACAATACATCTTATCTCTTGTATGAGATTTATTAATGACATAGAAAATGTGATATATATTAGATACATATATTTTCATTTCAAATATATTTGTTATCATCATATAATAATAAAACCAATTTTTCTAACATACTAAAACTGATTTTTGATCATTACTAACCATTTTTTCATGATATATTCTGACTAAATTTGAATTATATTATTCTTTAAAAGTATTTGAAATATCTATACATTCATTAGATATTACATAATAAATAATTACTTATCTAAAGATAATCTTATTTATAATTTCAAGAATTTCTTTAATTATCTTATTTTTTTGCTAGTTTAGAATGTATATAAAGATTTAATTCAGATCTGTAAATTAATATACTTTGAATTATATTTAAATTAGAGTATTTTAGAATAGTAATAGATTGATTAACAAAAGATTCACTACAGATTATGGTTAATAAAAGAATTAGTAATATATTAAAATCATTTTTTAATTATTCAAGTTGAGTTTAGGCAGGTCTATTAGTAAGTAAATATATATTAAATTCTATTTAAGATTATTAATATATTATAAATAATTATCTAAAATATGTATATTCTATTATATAGTAAGCTTTATTCATCACAAATCAAATATCTTAAGTTTTTGCTATATTTTTTAATATTTAACAAAATTATAAATTTTGAATAAATTTTTTTGGAGCAATTTATAAAATTTTAGTATATTCAGAAACTATTTTGCAAAGATTTTTTCTTGTATATCAAGAGGTTAATCAGTAGCTGCAAAAAGATAGACTGAAGATATTCTAATATTAATTATTTCTCACTATAAATATAGTAAAATTATTTATTATTATAATTTATACAAAAATATAAATATTTATACTTATTAATTGGCATTCTATTATTGATTTTAAAGATGTAAATACAATTATCAATCCATTAAATAATATACTAACTATCAAGAAAATTAGTATTTTTCTCTCTTCCATAGGTATTATAGTTAATATATCTTTGCTCAAGATAAAACTTTTAATACTTTTATATTGTAATTTTTTATAATATTAAAATTCAAAAATATCTTGTAAAACAGTATTAATTAAAGTTAATATAAATAATATCAATTCTTTATCTTTTTTAAAATAAAATCTTGAATTAATAATATTTAATTTTAATTTATAATTCCAGTAAAATTCACATAATTTGCACAGATCTTGCTCTAAAAATCTTTTTGGAAATGAATCTCAACCCTGATATGCTATGAATTTACCAAAATCAGATATAAGTTCAAAAAAAGATAAATAAAATATAGATTTATTAATATTATCTTGAACAGTTTTTCTATATAGAATTAAATTCTATTTTTTTAATTATCTAATTTTATTTTCTATAATTAATCAACATTAAAAATTATATTAAATTATATTTACAACTTACTTAAGTCTAATTAAAGTCTTGTAATTAATTTTTTTGATCATATATTCTTTTTACTTATGTTTCATTTCTTTTGCAAATTTTATCAACATTATATTTATATTAATCTTCTCTATATTTCCAAACTTTAGTAATATTTAACAAATTCTATTCTGAAAAATTAGATATATTACTTGCATTTTGTATTATTTATAGTATTATTACCATAGTGATATAAAATTCCTTAATTCCTTAATTTTTCCCTAGTTATGGAATATTACATTTTATTATAATTTTATTTATT